CGCTTTACAACTATTATTACCCCAGCAGACCCTCTGAGAACACTCAGAAACATACTCGGCTTCCGCGGAAGCATACAGTGCAAGCTGCGGATTTCACGCGCTCAAACACTATCAAACTGACAAGATCGTTCACTGTCTATAAGCCGGGTATCCATTTCCACCTGGGTGAAGTGAGGAAAATTTGTGCAAAGTGCCTTTCCCAAAGACACAACGTCGGGCATATAGCGGTTTGGCGCTTTACTTTCGCGTGCAGAAGATCTGAGTTCGATTCCCGTGTAAGGAGAATTCCTATGAAGGAGTTATTCTATGTTTCTGCTTGGGTTTTGAATCGTTGAATCCCTCTCAGCTTGGATAGCCCTGACAAGTACCCAAAAAATGTATTTACCGGTGAAGATTTCATGTATATTCATCATTCAGTGCCCGATCAATCTGCGACAGACATCGGCGATCATGGTTCTTCATTAATTCTTTTGCTCGGAAGCTCTTTAAACAAATCATTTCCCTGATCTTTCCCTGTTAACTATTTGTTCAGGTTTCCAAAGTAAGCTGCTCTGGGCCTACCCCTGCATCGTTTGCCTTCATGTAGGCCTATATTATTGCCTTTAGAATATCAGTGTGGTGTCAACGTTTAATTTTTATACCGTTGCTTCTCGATGTGGGCACGAGAGGGTTAAGACGGAGGATGGAAGAGTACACCGGTAGCTGGCTAGCCTTTGCCGCGGCCTCCAGTGCGCGTGCTGACATGTTTATTCCCCCTTTTAATGGCTTAGATGCGACCAAGCGAGATACATTTTTGCGGGAAATTGTTTCAGTTTCTCCGCTCTCCACTCACACATCTCACAGTTTAAATTAATCGCGACTCGATTTTTTTCTTTTTTTTTTTCTTTTTTTTTATTTGTTTGCTTGCTTGTTTTTGGGTTGTTATTTTTTCTTTCTTTCCCCCCACCACAACCCCCCTCCCCCCCAACCTCCGCCTTCCGTCCGTCTTCAGCGCTTTTGCTCCTTTCTCTTCAAAGAAGTAGCAATACTATTTTTATTTCTAGAACAGATCAGATCATAATCCTAATAATGATAATAATAATAATCAAAACATTATCTGGGAGAGATAATTTATTTATAGCGGCAAACCCGAGCCTTTGAAACAGGTCGTCACAAAGGCGGCACAGAGGCGGCCCAATGTGTTGACGTCTCTGTCTGTGGCCTGTTCATTCACCTCGCTCGCTCAGGTGAGGGTTTATGCCCGCTTTATTTCTCCGTGCTACAAATACTTGAACCTCATTCGGCAACGTTGTGAAATCGTAATTACAATATTGATGATGATGAAAATAATAAAAATAATAATTATTATTATGATATCGATGATACATGTAATGACAATAATATTTTGACAATAGAAATTACAACGACACCTATAAGAGTAATGATAACAATGATAATAATTTGCAATAGCAATCACAATAACAATAACAATACATGTAATAATGATATGACGATGATGATGATAATAATAGTAGTAATAATAATAATACAAATAATATTAGTAAAAGTAACAGCACATGTAATAATAACAGTAATTGTAATAGTAATATGCATAGTAATAGTAATAATAACAGTAATAGTAATATGCATAGTAATAGTAATAATTGCAGTAACAATCAGAGTGACAAATATCCTCTGTAACAACACCCCCTCGACAAGAGCCACGAAGTGAGCAGCGAACAAAGAACAGTTGGCCACTCACAGGAGGAGACTTGTCTCCCGCCAAAACCCGAGAATCACTTCCGGTCTGGGATTTCTCGCTCGCGTGACGTGACAGCGTTTGGCGCCTCTAGCGCCACCTCGGAAAATCCCCGAGTTCCTTCCCTTGGCCGGAACCACACTTGGGGCTGAGAGGGGAGTTTGGGGGGTGGGGTGGGGTGGCGTGGGGTTA